CAATTAGTGAACACACCTGTGAACACACCCCTACCTCATTCTCCATTCCTCATCCCAGCTCTTGAGCATTCTCTAGTCCTTTGTTTCAGTTTTGACTGACTTCTTTCCTCTTTCTCCTGTTGTAATATTCTTGAAGAAATTCTTCTTTGCCTGTGTAATTTTATCCAGTGTGATCTTTGCACACCAGGTCTGTGAGCTAATGTTATTGACATTTTTAAAGAATTGACTTACAAACAAAAGTTCCAGGTGTTTTAAAGTTCCATATATTTATATTATATTAAAAAAATATTTCTGACCCAGCTTCTCAATACCTGTAGGTTATGATGGTATTCAGGTACAAGCTAGAGTCTGGGTCAAGAGATGATTGACCAGCTCAGACTTAAAATTAGGTGTTCTCACCTGCCTTGTATCACCTTCACTTCAGAATCATTTCTGCTAAGGAGTCATGGGTATTTGTCTAATATGGGGAAATCCTTTCCCTTATTCACCACTGGCTGAAAATTGACAGTTGTTTAAAAATAACTCTCATCTCAGCAGTCTTAATTTCTTTACTTGTGATAAGGCTGAGCCTATGTGTGGTTTCATCGTATCATGTCTGCAGTCATCTTGAAACATAACCACCATGATGGCCCCAGTTTAACCCTCGGCAGTTTTTCCTGCGTAGTTTACCAGAAAACGCTTAAGTACACAAAACCATTAGAGTGGTATGTGGACCCTGGCACCAAGCATGTGCTGACTCTTTGATATTAGCTTAAGACAAGGCATTCTGTCTAGCATGAAATCACTTTTGTCCAGACCAAAATATATGTCACTCCTTCTGACCCAAATTGCGGGGATCCACTTGGTGTTGCTGTCACTTGGCACCAAAAGTGTCTTGAAAGTCTGCCAAAAAAATTGCATGCTGTGCAATTGCAATCCTGTATCTGTTTTTATTTTTTTGTTTCTTGGGGCCAGTTTTCATACACTAGAATTGTATAATTCTGAAAACACTACGCTTTTGGGAAACAGCAAATGTCAAGAAATCCTCTCGCCCTTTTGAATGCTAGAGACTTGATTACTGCAAAGAATCACCCTTTAATATTTATTAGATAAGCCTCATGGATGAACTTGTTTACAAACACCATGACAAGGTCAGATGGAGACCCTAAAACTTTCTATCCTTTGTCCCAGAAATTAGTAGCTGAACCATATGCCCACACTCACAAATCTGAACAAAATACTTGATAGCTTGACAGCACGTTAGCTGCGCTCCTTGCTTTCCCCAGCACTCTGAACTTCGTACCGTCCTTGAGTTTAAACAAGTACTGGGAGCTTAACCAAGAACTAGGAGGTAGAGCAACCTCTCCTGACCCACCTCTCAGAATGGACTGACCACAAAGAAAGACATTCCCCTTCAATGCCCTAATCACACCACTTCTTTGCCCCATGTGTACACCCCTAGCTCTTTCTAGTCTTCTTTACTACTCCATATCAAAGAAAAGTTATTTCTGCCTGACCTCTGAGATACTTATAGATCCTGTAATTGGAGCATATTCTCCTTTCAAATAATAACCTTTCTTCCATTACAATAATCCTTTCAAATAAAGTCTCTTCCTCCTTAAGTCTGGATTTTATTTTACGTGACACATGAAAATTATTGTCATTTTCATTGATTCCCAGGTTTTCTCCCTTTTCCGTATTCTTTGGTTCTTGGTTCTGAAATCTCTCTTCTACCATCCCAGTTGCAAACCTGACTATAGAATCACCTCACAGGCAAGATGATTTTGTCACCACGGAAAACTTTATATACAGTTTAATATTAGTTTCATGTTTTTCATTGACATATTAAAAATTTATAGGAGTTGATTAATTGATGTTGACATGAATAATTTTGGAAAACTAAAACCTGATAAAGTTATTCTAAAAAACTGAGGATGATTTGGAATTTTTGAACTAAACTTTTTGAAGTAGAGTTTTATTAGTTGTGAAGTTTTAAATTTGTAGTTATATGTTTTTACGGAGAGTTTAAAAACAATCTAAAAATGCAAGTTGGCCTAGGTCTCCAGTTTCCTGTTCCTTTTTTGCAAGTGCAAATAAAACCACACAATGGACTATAGAAATAGGTCTACTTAGGCTCACCTGTTATTCTGTATAGGCCACACTTTTCTGCTACAATTACTGGCCTCACCACCCCTATGACAACTGGTGTGTGTTTCCAGTTTTAGGCCTCTACTTCTTGCCTGAAAAAATCTCCATGGAATTTTATAAATTTGTGTTAGGGACCTAATAATCCAGAAGGAATGAGTGGAAATGCCAGGATGTCATGGAAATAATCATAGATTAGGAATGAGGCTCTTGTATTGGTTCCGTTATCTATTTATGGTCATCTTCAGTAAGTCACTTAACCTCTTTTGAGCCTCCATTCTTTAGGATAATTAATTTCTACCTCACATATTAATCCTAAGGACACAAAGAGATAATATATGATAATAAGCATTTATAAATTATAATATCATTGCTTGTTTCACAGGTGTCTTAAATATCTAATAGGTTATAAGCCACCTAAAACAGAGTTCCTATAGTACCCTAAATATTTAACATAGGAATAAATAAATGACAGTTGCTTAATAAGTGCTTTCAAGTATGTGACTTGGTATGTATGACTGTAAACAACATTAAATAAATTCCACAAATAATTCAACATATATTTATTGTGTGAACATAATTGTGCTAGCTCCCTTAAGAAACACAATGGACCAGACATGAATTTTGCCCTCTAAGCACTTACAGTCCATCAGAGGATATCAGAAATTTGTATATGATAGTAGATTTTTAAAGCTCTAACCAAGGTACAGATGCAGTGCCATAAGAGTCCCCAGGAGAAATTATTTTGAGCTTGAAAAATTCTGAAGAATGGGCTGGGGTTGTGGCTCAGTGGTAGAGTGCTTGCCTAGCATGTGTGAGACACTGGATTCAATTCAGCACAACATATAAATAAATGAATAAAATAAAGGTCTATTAACATCTGACATATATATATAAAATTCTGAAGAACTTCATAAAGATGAAATTTGAGATGTACCTTGAAACAGAGGTAAAATGTAGACATGGGAGAAGAGGAAGAACTTCTAGTCCAAGGGCACAAAGACCAGACAAGTTGTGACTGCAATCCTAAATGAACTGTCTAGGACTGGAGAACTGAACCCTGTGTAGGGGACACCTGAAGCTCAACGTGGTAGAGTGTTTGTGTGTGTGTGCCCATGTGTATGAGAGAGAGAGAAAGTGCACTTGAATCTTAAAAGGGGTGGGCTAGAAGAGGCTCCCTTGCATTATGATTTCTTGATACTTGTCAACCTGTACTTTTATCCTTATAGATTAAAATGCAAAAACAAACAAACAAACAAAAAAACCCACCACCAATGTCACAACATCCTTCTTAGAGTAACCCAAACATCCATCTACCCTAGCATCTTAGGTATTGGCAACTTCTGGTTAGTTTTCATATGCTTATATAATATTGAGTTACTAGAACTAAAGAAAAGTCAAAGTGAAAAAAAAAAGTGGAAACATTTATAGCTGTGAATATTTAGAAGAAATATTAGCCTCATAAATTGAATTTATGTTTTTTAAACATACTGAATTTACGTTTGCAAATGTGCTCAGTGTGTTTTTTTCCCATCAGGATTTTATAATTTGTAATGAATCAGGATTTTATAATTTGTAATGAATGACTCCATGTATAGTATGCATTCACAGCTATAGGTTACTGACATGAAAAGAGCAGTATGAATTTAAATATACATACATATATACACACGCATACACACAGATAATATATATGTGTGTATGTTTGTATATATATATATGTATTATATATGGACAGAGAAGATTTATTAAATATTATTTCTATCATCAAAAAGTCATCTTAGAAATTCAATAGGCTATACAATTATATTATAATTAGCATGAACTTTATTTTATTGAAAAATCAGTCTTTAGTTATACTATTTTTTGCATAATGATGTCACTTTATTTTTAAAATCTGATTAAAAATATACTTTTAACATCTTGACACTGAGAACATGGTAAGGATCTGACAGCTCAGCCTGAGCTGTGTGGATTTTAAGGCTCCAGCTCAGAGGCGCACTTGAGTGTTGAAGCACCATCATCTGCCTTACAACCTGAGTGCGGGTCCCCAAGGTCACCAGGAGCAGGAACTGACCCACAGGAGTTTCATACACCACAGACCACACAGCTCAGGCTTAACTGAAAGCTAATCCAAATACACATTCCAGTCTCCCTTCCACCCTTTATTGCTCCAGACTGAAGAGCACAATCTCCAGCCATTGAAAGGACCAGGAAATTGCCCAAGCCCTTCCCACTACATCTTGTTTAATGTGTCTCAGAGGGAGCAAGAAACATTAGCAGTACAGCTCTTATATGAGAGAGGATACTGGGGACTGTGCAGTTGGCTCACCTCAGGCTTCCCACTTTCAAACCAGAGGTAAATTGTTTCATCAGATTCACCCGCGCCCTTTCTGATTCTGCTAGAGAATATACAGATAAGATTGTTTTAAAATCCTGAATAAGTTCAATTCTATGCTATGAAGAACTGTAGTATGAGTAGCTTCTTCCATGAAACATGCAGCAAACTTAATTACTTAAAACATTTTTCCCTGTATTATTTTCTGTATTGTAACTTCCTGTTTTTTACTAGTTGTCTATTTTTCCCCACAAGATAGGAAAAAAAACCCCATATTTATGTAAGAGTATGATGGCAGCAGATTTCTGACAAGTCCCATTTACATGGTACATTGTTCCAAAGGGTGTTTAAGTAGAAAATACAGAAACACTATACAAACCTATTATTACATTTGAGAAATCATTAGCCTCAAAGGAGTAATAACGGTATGCTATTAAAACTGTGAATACATTTTCAGTATCTGTATTGAAAAAAAAACTTTATAAATATGTAAATTTTTGTTCAACAAATCCAAAATAAAATGCACTAAAAAACTGATATGTAGACAAAAGTTTATTTACACCATACAACATTTTAAATATTTTATACACAGCTGCAGCAGAGAAAGCTACTCAGAGCTTTCTAGAGAAAACTGCAATAATAAAGATGTGAAATATATTATTCATATAAAAGTGAGATTATTACTTTATTGCATTTAAAGCAATGAAGAATGTAGCTCAACAAACATTCATTTAATGACAAAAACTTTGCTTTTATATTATAAAGTAAAAAGTGTAGTAATGGCCAAACAGACTGTTATAAACTTTAAAAACTGCATAAATATATACATTGTGCTTCATGGTGAAGTTTTTTGAAAACTAAACCATATGAAGCGGTTACAACATGAATCGTTGCTTGAGGTTTATCTATAAAGATTACCTTACAAATCCATTCCACAGGTACTTACAACACAGGATGGTCAGAACTGTACACCTGGTGTCTCTCCACTAGCCTGACTAGTGAGGAATTACCATAGGAAAACACCACTGACGTTTGGCACATGAAGGTCCTGACACAGGATAGTCACATTGTCCAGATAGAAATGTCAGGCTTCCCAAGTCTTAAGGGTCAGTGCATTAGGTTATTGTGTCTTTGCCTCAGTTCATTTTGATTTTGTTAAACTTCTGTTTGAAAGTCACCTTCTTGCACATCCAGAGGCAAATTCAGACACTTCTCCCACTCTGCTGGCCTCAGTTCCAAAGCATCCTTGGCTTCTGTGTCTAAGACATTGATTGTGGTGTAATGTTGGTATTCACTGGGGTTTTTGAAAGTTTCCCATGGATTCTTGTTTGGTGCTGGGTTTTCCTGTTGAGAAAAGAGAGCCGTTTATTTGATGATTAACACTGCAACTTACTGAAGTTTTCAGAAAGAGGACATGTTTGTAATCTTAATTTAGTTTATATTATTCAGAGATGATTTGAAATTATCCAACTACAGGAGATAGTTTTGATATAAGTTTTCATCTTCTTTAAGTTATCCTACAACATGTCAGGAGTTAGAGGAAGTGAATAATACTACAGAAGGCAAAGTAGATGGTATTTCAATTTGAGTATCATGTGAAAGAAATGTCAGTATGACTATATGTTTGAGAAGGAAACACAGGATTCTTCTCTTTTAATAGTACCATTTAATGAAAAATGTATCCAGCAATACAAGGGGTCTTTCAAAATGCCTATAAACCATTATTCCTTATTATTTTTTATAGTATATGCCTATATATTTTCTAAGACTCAAGATTTGCACAATTATGACTTCACTCAGAGTTCCATCCTATAGATGTTTAATACATAAACAAATAGACTCCTTTTAGGTTCTTTTGACCAATATTCTGCTAAAATTAACAATGACTTAGCTTTATTTTAAGTAAGTGTTGCTTAAAGATTTCTGCAAAGCAGGAGAATCTGAATAAGCTGAGAATCATCAAAGAACAAGAAGAAAATCATGATTAAAAGCTTTTTAGAAAAAAACCTAAAACATGAAAACAACAGTGGGTAATTTGATGGACACTCAATTATGTAGAATATTGATTAAAGCTGAATTTATTGTTGCAAGAGAACATGTCAAGTAAAAGTTGTCACTTCTACATGAGTCCAGGTTTTAATTCAATAGAGATTTACTGAAATTAATCATTTTTCATGACAATTTAACTCTACTTCACTAAATAATCTTTCTACTTTTAATTTTATCCCAACAAAATCTATCAAGCTCTAAAAGAATTTCTCTCTTAAAAAACACTACCCTTTAACTTCTATTATCCCTTTATTTCTATTCTTCAAGATTATTAAAATGGTTTTAAAAGTCTACCATTCTAATTGTATTCTCATTTTTCACTACAAAACATTATGTCTAATGAAAATATCAGTTCTTGCATGAGTCCATCCCCCTCTCACAAAATCTGATCTTTAGCTTATTATAGTCACTTACCAAAAGATACATAAAATAGGTTCTTGAATTGCTATCAGGGTTCTGCTTGGTATATTATGCATCTCAAGCTATGCATAAGAGATACGGTTTATAGAAATAGTTATCATAACTAGATATTAAATCACTAAATTCCTTAATAACTTAGATGTTTTCAAGACTTATTCTTATTTATGAGGACATAGAAGAAGAGATAGTTAATAGTAAAGATCTAATAAAAAGTTAACTTTTAGGATCTATGCAAGGGATTAATTCTGCTTTAGTCTAGTATCCTAAAGACTCATGAATTTGTAGCTCTCTCTTCCTATCTTTCCTTTCTCCTTTCTCTCCCTGTCTGCTTCCTTTCACCTAAAATTTATTTATAAGTTGCTCTGCATAGGATATCATATGAAGCACTAGAGAGGATAAAGTGATAAATCAAGTATGTAAAAGCATCATGGTTCACAGGGAATTTAAGATTTAGAGCCTGATATATACAGGTCCTAGTTCCAGTTCTTCCACTTCAAAAGAATTAACTGAACAATTGATTCAACTTTTCTGAACCTTGGCTTGAATATCTACAAACAGAGATATGCTTTGTATTGTGGACCAAAGGAGTTGGCAAAATGTGTGGATCAACACCTACTTTGTGGGTATGCAAGAATTTGTTAAGCAGTGATAGAGCATAGAATAATGCCTGGAGAACTCAAATCTTCACTACTTCATAATCATACTTATAATGAAAGGTATTTATAGTTAAATGAAAGTATACAATATATATATTTTTTAAAATTATATATATATATATATATATATATATATATTTTTTTTTTTTTCAGAAAAAGTGTTATGGGCTTCCAAAGGCAGGTATAGAGAGGCTTCCTTTTATGGGAAGTGCATAATCCTTCCTGAGGAGAGTGACCTTTGGGCTGGCACCAAAGGGGTTCACCATGAAGACATGTGTGTGGTTGGAGGTCTTGTGGTTGAACAGGTGTACTAGGAAATAAAAATTCAGAGCATGTAGAGATATGAAAACAGTGTCCTGTTTATTTTAGTTGGAATGAGAAAGAATAGAAGAAGAAGAAAAAAAGGCATTAGGTAAACTGGAAGCCAGTTCATAAGAGATTTTGACTGTCAGGCGATTCAATTTGGAATTTATTTTGTAAGCAATAGGAAATCATTGAAGGTTTGAGAGCAATATGTGACCTGAATCATCAATCATCAACTGAAAGATTCACAGAGATGAATTCTGCTGAATCAAGTTCACAGAGTGAGCCTAGCTACCTTAGATAAGAGCTGTTTTAAGATAAGTTTGACAGAAGGTCCAATTAGTTCAACCCAGAAAGCATTTGAGGTATATAAAGTGCGAGTTTGTTTGCTTGGAAAACATGGGCTCCATTATGTTCTGAACCAATGTTGTTTCCTTTTTTATATTTTAAAGATCAAGCTCCAGGGATACATGAACTAAGGTGGCTAATTTTAAGCTCTGTCAGAATATCTACATTCTATTTCAAAGAGTGTTATTGTCAGTATGTGACCTAATATGTTTTTGAGAGGTCTATCAGCATGTAAGAAATTAATATTTAAGGTTGATTTTCTTGAACATCTCCTTTGGCCTACCAAGGCACTCCCAACTTATCTATGGTTTTCATCATCTTTTATAACTTTTGGATGCCCTTTAAGCCAGAAGACCCTATCCTTTAAAGGTGAAGAGCTACCACATCCAGCAGCCAGGGTAGGGACAGGACCCACAGGGAGTGGTAAGGAGCTGGTGGTCAGAGGATGATGCCCACAAGCTACTCATCTTCCTACATGTTGGGTGTGATACAAAGCAACCTGTAGACTTTCATAAAAAGAAGGGCAACACTCCCGATGGGTCCCACTTAACGACAAACTGTGCAGTAGCCTGAAGGGATCATTGCATTTGACAGGGAGGGGATGCCAAGGCCAGGAAAGGCCTCAATGGATGCTGGAATCCAATGATGGAAAATCCAAGCAGTTAGTCTAAGTTCCTGAATTCATGCAGCTGTTTGTTTGTTTTGAGCCCAGATACAGAATGGAGATGTAGTTAAACTGGTGTGTTAAAAGGGTAATAATTATAAATTCACTATAAACCAGTGTGCAAGAAGCTTTAAAAAATGCTATTTCTCTTAGGATGCATCCAGAGAAATAGAGTATTAAATGCATATGAGAATTCAAAGCCACCCCCAAATATGATAGGGCTGCCCAGCATTCCCCATGATTCATTGGTATAGAAGCATGTGAGCTGTTCTCTTGGGGTAAGTCCCTCCTTCTCTTCACCCATCATTTTCAATTTTACTCCTTCTTCCTTCTTCCTTCCTTTTTTCCTTCATTCCTTCCTTTTCCTCCTTATTTCCTTCCTTCCTTCTTTCAATCCACCAGTATTTGAGGACAAAGTTAAAGAAAGTATGAGCATTTTGTAAGAAGGAAAGTTAGGAGGAGCTATTTGGGGAGAAGAGATTTTGACAGTGAATGGTTTGTAAGATGCACTCAAGGTAGAAAAGAGTTTCATTTCTTTGAACAGTACCTCTTCTTTTGTAATGTTCTTTAAATGTTTTCCTGCCTAGAAACAAGAAAATGACTAAATGGTATTTTGGTTTCCCTTTGATTCCCCAAATTCTATTGTTTTACATAATTAGCATCATTTGTAGTGGTAGGCAGGTGTGAATCAGCAGCCTTCTCCTCCCCAAAAAAGGAAAAACACTTTGAGATTTAAAAAAAAATGTTTTTCTCCACTCAATGACGCAATTTTTCATTAGCAGTGTGGCACTACAAATTATGTGACTGAGGTAAAGATAATGAACTCACATGTTCATTATTAATCAAAACTGAATAAGGAACTCGTTTTGTGTTCTCAGATATTTGGGACAGTATTCAAGCAGCAAAGACAACTCCATCCTTCCTTGCTCCCAACCTCCCAAATGGTAAATATTTATAAATCTCTTTTAGAAATGGCATGCTGCTGCAGAGATGTGGTGTAATTAGTAGACTATTTTGGTTGTCAGGAAACTGAGATACAGATATTTGTGCCATTAATGATTTAATAACCAGACCGTACAACAAGGGGAAATTACAATCATATTATAGCAGTCAGCCAGCTGTATCTGTTGCATAAGCCTTTCAGATTCGTAAACATAACCCTCCCCTTTTTTTTCCCCAACAAAACAAATGAAGTTTCTTCAATTTATTTCAATGTTAGCTTTCAGTATTTGAAAATGAGTCGCTAATGTGTTGAGGTCTAATATCAATGGTGTGATTCTCATTTGCCTGCTAGCTAAAAATTGATGGCTTAATATTAGAAGAAGTAGATGAGAAAGAACCCCTCATTTACACAGGAAGTATCTTCTATATGCCTAGCATTGTGTTGGTGATAACAAATAATGCAACAACGCATTTTCTGCTTTAGGGAAGAAAATAAATTGGTATATACATGGACTATTTAGAGACCAATTAAGAGTTAAAGTGTATGGTATTTTTATAACCTTCATTTAACAAGCACAGATTGAGCTATCATAGCTATGCAATAAATCTACAGCAACCATTTACTGATAACATACCATAACCAGCATCATACTAGTACTGAGAGAAATAAAAAATAAAACATAAATGTACATGGCTTTTTTTTCTATCCATCTTTTCCCAAGCTAACTTCACTAATCAGGATTCTAAAGTCATGACTCATAAAATATGAATGGAAGGATCACTAGACTGAGAGTGTAATCAAACACCACGTACTTTAGAACTATATGTGTTACAGCTATACTATAGATAATATATTATCTATATTGTCTCAGACAGATACATGGGAGAGGGAGAAGGAGAGAAAAAGGTGAGCAGAGGTCTCAAAGAGAAGGATTGCCCAAGTTTAGAACTGCAGAGAGTGGACACAGAGCACCACATCTGAAGTGAAGAAGAGTTGGTGTGCAATGGCTGTCCAAGCCTCCTCTTAGAGCTGAGCCTCAGCTTCCTCACCTGTAAGGTGTAGCTTGCTCTTGAAAGCTTTATGAGGATTAAAAGACTACATATTACTACTGTTTTCCATCCTCTATTTAGGAAAAGGAAATTGAGGTTTAGAAACTTGAGTTCTGCAACTTGCTCAGATAGTGGTTGCACTTTCAACTTGTTTTCTGATTTCTAGAGAACTGGTCCAGCGCACTTAAAAATAACTATGAAATCTTCTATAAAGCCATGCACATAGTAATTGCACAGTGTTATTTTATTTGATGAAGTCCTATGTTGAGACTGCAATAAGTGAGAAGAGAATTGTTACAATTAACAACCAATATCCCTGATATTGATGTGTGTCCTAAATCCCTACCACAGAACAAGTGAATCTCCTGAAGACAAAAACCTACCATCCTGGTTTGAGGTAACAACTCATATTTATGAGATTATCACATTTTAGGCCCTTAAAATGGCAGACATTAAAATGAAAATGGAAAATTTGGTTGTTTGGCTACATTTTTATAAAATGAATTACCTGAACTCTGATGAAGACAATGCTTTGTTGATATATAACTAATATTCTGGCATTCCTACATTTTCAAAGTACATTTGGGGACTTTATCATTATTCTCATGCACAACTCTTGTGTGCCCAGCAGGATTAGGCACCCCTGGAGGCCAACGAGCCTACCAGCAGCCTATGTCCACCGGCATGCACCAGGCTCCCACCAAGCAGAGTATACTCACCAGACTGCTTGTATTTGGTATATCCCGAAATCTGTCCAAAGTTTGAAATTTCTGATTCAGCTCCTGAAACAGTTCCATGTGCCTCTTCCTTGTATGCATGACCTTCTGCAAAAGAAAACAGGATGGCTCTCATTCCCAATTTGATTTATATATTTTAAAAAACTAATATTTTTGATTGAATAATAGGGAAAGCAAGTTCAGCAGGAACCAGGAATCCCAATGAATGCCACAAATGCAAATGACTTGCACCAAATCCTTATATCCAGCATTTTTGAAAAGGGAGAAATGTTTTTTTCTTCCATTTACAAGATTACCCAAAATAGTTTTTCTTGTGGGTGCATTAAAAATGTAACAGTCTTTCCTGTGTGAGATTTTCATCACTCAAAAGTTAAATCTGTTTCACAAAAATTGCTACAATATTTAAAAGATGTTTAAAATTTGGACTTGTAAAGCACCTGAGTCTCTGATGTTTGTCATGGGAAATATTACTTTTTTATGTTTTATTTTTATAAACACTAAAATCCTAGCTGGCTGTACTAAAGGGGGAGCAAAATCCCAGGCCCTGCCATTAAGGCTGACTCAAAGCACTAAAGTGTCTGAAATATATGTAGGATCTAAAACCTTGCATTTTCCATGTGAATAATGATTGAGCTTTGCAGAAGGAAAATCTGACCCATAGGTTTCATATATTTGTATATGAGATGGCACAGAATCTTAACAATCAAGGTTCAGAACATAAATTATATGGTTGATGAACTTCTAAAATCACTAATATATTGACACCCTCAATCTCTGGTTCTCTCAACTTCATTATAACTAGAAAATGGAATCATAAATAAAAATTACTTGGGGTAAGTATCATGGGCTGAATCTTTTTCTATTATGGAGCATTTAAAAGAGTACTAACAAGGAAGACTTAGATAATAAATTCCTTCTAATCACAAGTGTTATTTAAAAAAAGAAAATAACTTCCTCAATTTTGACTTTTAAGTTATAAATCAAACTTGGTGAGTCTCCAAGATTATGCCTTCATGTTTGTATAAGATTTTACAGATTCTTAAAGTATATGTATCACAACTCACCATTTGCTCATATGGTTTGCACAGGTATATTATATCCATGAATAAACTATGATTTGAACATTTGGTCCATTGTTTTAATTAGCAAATATTTTCAAAGTAGGAATTTGTTTTGAAAAAGAAATATATCTTTGGGGAAAGATCTGTAATGCTTAATTTTCTTCCAAAAACTTCCTTGAGGGGAAAAAAAGGCATAGAGAAAGGCAAATTCAATCTTTAATATATTACAAAAGCCTATTCTCTCCAATGCAAATTTTAATTTTCTATATTTAATGAATATGTATCTAGGTCATTCACTGTTAGGCTAATTTCTTCTATTTTTACTAGCCTATTTTTATGGGAGAGAATTCTGCCATTTTGTGTCCTACAATAACCAGTTTCCATCTTTGCTTCTCTTAGGGCTCGGAGTTGGCTGTTGAATCAGTTGGTTGAGGATGAGAACATGGCAACATTACTCATGATGAGAACATGAAACATAGAAAGCAATTACAGAGTGATTAACTTCCCATCAGTTTTAAAGAGAATACATGAAACAGATTTGCAGGATTTACAGAGAAAAACACCAGGCAAACATAATTTGACTAGTGATGACTGATGGAGATTTATGAGAGGGAGGATTTACATAAGCAACTCAATGGAGGGATTTTGAGGACCATGTAGCTGGCAAATGTAATTCAGTACATTCTGTCCTTGGGGAGACAAGTACTTCCATGTAGTACCAAGTCCTAAGACACTTATTAAAATGTGGATTTGTTTCACAAGGAATACTTTACAAAGAAAAACAAAATAAAAAATGCTGTTAGAATACTGGCTCTGCCTCTAAAAACTCTCATTTTCATAGTAATGAGTATTACAACACAGTTATTTTCTTCTACAGTGCAGTATGAGTGACATCATACCACTGATATTTCTCTAGGCATATTTCATTCTGTTGTTTTTATATATATATATTTACAAATACCACATATTATGCTAGATTCTAGGTTAATGATAATGAAAAACATTTGATTGAGTTACTGTCCTCTAGTACCTAGTAGTAGTAGCTGAATGGAAGGAATAGGCATTAATTGCATAATAATTCGAAAAATAGAAATTTATAATCATGTTGAAGAAATTATGGTGATACACTGAGAGTAAGTTATAGAGGAATTTGTTAAGATGAATGCAAATAAAGCACATTTAAATTGAAAATCCTCAAATTAGTTATTCCCGTGATCTTATTTGCCTATTTTCTCTTCCATTTTCTTGAATTCAGAGGATTTCTAATCCAATTTTCAATCCTATGCCTGAATTTCCTCTCCTCACTGAGATCTTTACTTTTCAAAGACAAAAAAAATTCATTTTCTTCTGAGCTCTGATACCAAAGGCACAGCACCTTTATTTTGAGATAGGCATCTGATGATTTTCTTCTGTGCAGTCTCCATTTATCTGTCAACATATGAGAGCATCCTGTCTTTGTTTTGGGAACTCTCCCTTCCCATGTTGCTGGAAATGTCAATCAAATTCCCTACTTTTCCCTGAGCAAGAGTTGAATTATTCCATATCTTTCCAATAGAGTTCTCTGTTAGACAAATATCTCTTCATGTTTCTTATAATCAAATGCCTCTATTATGTAAAGCATGTTTAAGAAGCAAAACAAAGGTCAAATATGTCCCATTATAAAAGAAGTACATTAACTAATTGGAGATTTTGTGGTCATATTCTGATTGAATGAGCAGTATTTTATTCTGAATTGGATGGATTTTATTTTGAGGCATTGGATTAATAGTACATACTAAAAATATACAAGGAGAATCTAAAGTTATGGTAGTTACTAATATTATATAACCAAAATACATTTTAAAATATTTCACTTAGTTTCATGAAAACTATTCTGATAATAAAGCTCAAGAACCTTGAAATGATTATGAAAGCAAATGAAAAATTGGGATGCTGAAATATAGGGCTATTCCTACTTAGAAAAATTAATTGCAAATATATTCTCATGTCAGATAATCATTCTAATTTGAAACTGCAATTTTGATACTGCCAGAAATCACCATGATGGTCTGGCATGCTGGCAGAAGTATCACGTTATTACAGCCATTGACAGCTCACATCTCTGACATGGGCTCAGTTTGATTTTCCATGCAAAATTCCTACTTGTTTTTTGACTCAAGTCTTCTAGACTTCACAATGTGGAAGATGGCATTGATAAAAACACCACCTTCACAGTGAACATTGGAGAGTTTCTAACTCAGCAATATTCTGGGATTAAAGTTCAGCTGTGGTTTTTAGTTTTCACAAATATTGAAGTTTACTTCTTATTTATTCACTCCTATGAATTTTTACTTGTAGTACTCATGCCTTTGATGGTCTTTACCTAATTAGAAGTTTTCATGCTTGTAAATATATTGGTATATTTCCATGACTATTTTTGCATCTTTACTGACTGTAGGGTTTGTCAGTTTACTGTTTTTCTTTTTGTTTGTGTGACTTAAACATCCTGTTCCCCAAAGAAATTGACTTCTATGAAAAACCAATTTAGACTTGTTTTCTAAAATCATGTAATAATGTTAAAACTCAATAAATCTATTCTATTTAAATAAATAAAACCTATTCAGGTTTCTTTTGTTTTAATGCCCATGAAATACTTCTGTGATGAATCTTTTGTAAAAGATATGTGTGTAGTAATGTTCCTTTCCATTCAGATTAACATCATTCAACATTTTGTTTGAAGCTATGTGTGAGCCCCTATCCCAATGACCCTTCAACCTTATTGCAAAGAAATGTGCTCTCTGAACAGCTTATTTTATAGGACTTTGTTCTCTCAATTTATTTTTGTAAATCTAAAGAGGTAGTATTTATAACCCCTTAATTGTTGATATTAGAGAAAAAGTGGGAAGTTATGAAGCACATTAATATTTAGGATATAGTGTATGCCCTGAGCATATACTATATCCTAAGAACTCTCCTAGACCCTTTAAGTACCTGAAACATGCTAAGTCTGATGGCTCTGGATGCGAGCAAATTTATGTTGAGATCTAAGTTCTATCACTTTTAAGTTGTGTGTCCTGCAGTATGGAATCCAAACTTATTTATCAGCAGTTAAAGTAATCAGACTTACATTTCAGAGTTATTTTGAAGACTTAAACAAGGTTATAAAGCACTTACAACTGAACTATACAGATAAGAGCCACTTAAGAAATGGCAGCCATTATTATCTTTCTTAATTCTCACAATAACCCTGGGAGGTGGGAACCATTATCTCCACGTTAGTGAATGGGAAACTGAACCTCAAAGAGGCTATGGTTCCCAGACAAGGGGTGAGAGAGCTGAAATTCTTTCCTAAACCCAACTCAATTCGCTTTGCATGCTGCTATCTTATATGTATCTCATAGATTCGGAAAGTATCTTCTCTTAGGTTATTCAGGTTTGTGATTATGCCCTGTTCAGAAGGAAAATGATCTAGGGTGGTTTAGGTGCCCTCTGTAGTAAGCCCATATTTCCTACAGATGTTGAATACACTACAATTATCTCAGAGTATTGCAATATCCTGTCTTGTCTCTGAACACATCATGGGCAATGACTTATTCATCTTTGTATCCCTGATTCCTAGCACAGTGTCTGGTATTCAGCAAATGCTTAATCAATACGAACTGAACAAATTAAATGACTGGGACAGCAAAAGTATACAGGGAAGAAATTGCCTGCAACATGTTAGGTTATTATAAATTTTGTCTTCTCTGTTTCTATCAAAGAGGTCTCCCCATTGGAAGGAGGGTTCATTTTAATGACTCCAGATAGGAGCCCTTTATCCTCATTCTGAGTCCAGAATTTTCCATACAAGTGCTTCATAAAAGATCTGTAGGTAGTCTTAGAACAAAGTGGTTAGAGGTTTCACATTTAAATTCAGAAGTATAAGTCATAGAGTTGGATTTAAGTCCAACTTAAAAGAGTTATTACTGTATATGAAGTTTTAGAAAACCCAGGGATATCATTAAGAGAATGGTAGAGAATCTGTTAGGTGTAAACTTTAGAGTTTGAGGCGAGAAATCATGCTTATAGGAATTAGAAGCCAGTTTGGCTGGATTACTTTTTCCAGCTTTAGAATTTTATACATCTACCGCCATTGTCCATATCCATTAGGATAAATCTGTGATTATTTTTCTTCTTTATTGTTTTACATATAAACTCTCCAAGTGAGCTTTTGAAAACTGGTCTTAGATGAATGTCACAACTCACATGTAAGGAAGAAACACATTGAAGGAATTAAGCCTAATTCTTAAAGCTGTATTATAAGAGGGAGATGATTCCTGTAACTTTCCTTGGCCAGAGTCCCAATGTGTCTGTAAGATGGAACCTGTACCCCATGAGCAATGCCTGACACTACAGGATCTATATTTCAAATATATTCATATATGAATAAATCTGTACCTAGGCCCTAACTAGACAAAGCGTCTATAAAAAATGAGTTGTATGTTTCATATTTTGTTATAGCTGATCAGGAGTATACTTGGTTGTAAGTACATAATTTTGTAGCTGTTTAAATTTAGTGATATAGAAAAGCTGGATATATTCTAGGCCTAAACTATTCAAAAATTTTGGTCTCCAAAAGTGTCTTCTGACAGTGCCTGATTGCTTAATGGAATGCACTTACTGCTGGGGGTCAGGCACAACAGGAAGGGACCTTTTGCCATCAAGTAGTTTTTTGAAATCTTAAAGTTTTATATTTAGAAATTTATATATATATATATATATATATATATATATATATATATATATATATCTTTGATGCTATAGTTTATCTGTATTTGTAGTGCTCCCTAATTCTTTTTTTTATCTCCCTTCCATTCAGTGGAATTCAGTGGAATGTGTTTCATGGTCTTTTACTCTATATTCAATTAAGGACTAAGTTCCATAGATTGTACCCCTGTAGTATCCCTTCATCACTTTATTTTCCTGCCACCTCCAGGAAATAGATCTTCATTGCTGCTTCCCTAGATTTAACATTCCTAATTGGTATTTCAATTTCTTCTTTTTTCCTCTACCACAATCTGACCTCCCTATTACTAACATTCATATTCCTAAAGCCCAGATTATAGGAAAGCATTCCTTACTGAAAAGCAAAATTAAAAACAAAAAGCAAATGACAACAACAACAAAACCCAAGCAAAACAAAAAGTAATGAAAGGCTTAACTAAGGCTTTGGGCAGCAGATTAGGTAAAAAAAAAAAATCCTCCTTCCAAACCACAAGACATGGATTCTTTCCTTCCATAGACCCCATATCAGTGAATTTTGACTTGTTTCTTGTTTCTTGATAATGTCACATAATGTCCAACCTCTGTTCTGTGTCTTTTCCTCCTCTGGATTTCTATTTGCTACTTCTGTCTCATTGAGTTATATTTAATTTAACTTGTTGAAGTCCAACATGGCTATCTTTGGCATGCCACATTTATGATTAACCATTTTCTATAATTGGTATAGTATTCAACAGCTTTTTGCTAAAGTAAACTAGATTGCAAAATAATTGCTTTTCATCAATTCAGTTTTATTTTTTTGTTATTCTCTGCTTGGAGCAGAACATTTGGTCACAGAACATAGGAATATCACTACAGCATTTTCTGAATACTTCCCAGAAAGAATCTATGTTTCTCCATTTTACATACTAGTTCCCCTTTTGTTCTGTTTCCTCCAGAAGTGCTGTGTTGTCCTGGAGATTGGAGAGACAAAATGGCTTTTTTTCTAGGTTTAACATTAACTAGTCATACAAGTTTAATTGTTATATGAGTTGTAACAAGATTATTATTATGTATACATTCTGTGGAGTATGTTAGGCTTAAAGCCTGAAGGGAAGATGCTTCCCGGAACCCAGGAGTCTGTCAGTGGCAAAATGTCTAAGTTGTTAACTATGGTAAAGCCTGCTGAGGGATGGGGTGTCAGGAATCTTGACATCTATTTGATTAATCAAGCCTAAATTTGGAGGGGGCCTTAGGTACTTTCTCAAGGCTATCAACAAAACACAGATTGTATTAAAACTGAAATAGATTAATATGCATATATGAGTGTCTGGATAACCCAAGTAATATGTATAACCATGAGGCTCTAATAAAAAAGTCACCAGGATTTAAATATGGCAATAATTTTTCTGAACACAATCTATGAGAGATCCACCACATCCCTGCAATTTCAATTCAGATTAATAGGTGTAGCACTAAGTAGCTGGCACAGAAAGAGAAGTGCTTCGGAATTTCCCCCCCAAGTTTTCATGCAATAACTAGGAATTGAAGAGCTATAGAAAATGTCAGGGTTCTTGTGTTTCATGTTTTCTCTATTATTTGCAAATATTTTGTTAATACTGTGGTTTTATGTGTGGAATTTGGCCATAGAAAGAAGTATCAGCTTAAGGAAGCTGCTAACAGTTGCCATAGAGAATAGACAAAAAAAGAATAGTTTTTTTCTGATGCTCCCAGGGACAGTATGATTAGATTTCTTTTCAGTTTTTGTGATTATGTAACTTTGGTTGGTTGCTCTGAAGCTTAATTTTAGATCTAGATTTACTGTATTTTGTCATTAATGATTAGTGGGTTAATTTGCACCTCTTTTCCTTTGAATTAATAACAATTTATTGCTTTCATAAATATATATGTATATATAATATAAACACTCTACATGTTTTTATATATTTATATATGAACATATATAAATGTATGTATATATACAGGTCCTCTATTTTTGGCTTCCTAAATTCCAAAGAATTAATACAAAAAAGCCTGAAAATATCTGTTCATTAAAAGGCACTAAAGACTCTAAAGGTAAGGATTGTTGAATAATTTTTATTTAAATTTGTAGTCTTAGTATTTTATGCTAATAATTTAGAATACAATAAAATATATAGTCTGAATTATAACTGGAAAAAATTTTTTCTTGGACCCTCTTTAGGGTAAAACCATTGTCATCCTTCTAGTAAATAATAAAAGGTTAAGTGTTTATACATTATATGTCATACAATTTGTACTTTCTACATTGTAGAGCTACAACATTCATCTATCTAAACAAAATGATTAAATTAGGAGATTTCATGTTCTAGAAAGCTTATGTAATTTTACAAATATCAGTTAAGAGAATTGAGTTCTACATATGCATCACAAGGGTACAAATATGCTTGGGAAATTTATATTATATCCAATTATGTCAGCAGGCTATGAATCATATCCAATTATCAAGATGCATAAGTGCATTTTATGTGATGCTTAAACATCATTAATTTTGTGCTTAGCATAAGCTGCTTAAATAGTATGATTTTAGTAACTTCTAGCATCAATATTGCAGCATCAATATAAATTCAATGTAAATTGGAAAATGAAAATCTTCATCTTGTTTATATCTGTGAAAAGACATTTGCTAAACACAGGAGCACATTGAACTGATGCTTGCTCTTGGAAAAATGAATCTGAATGCACCACAGAGAAACTAAATAGTAGTAATCAGAACACAAAGCAAATGAGTCCCAGAGAAACCTAAGCTAACCAACCTAAGCTCACAGGATCCTCTAGTTAGTTGCCAAGCTAAAACCAAAGAAATTGTCTCAAATATAAAAATCAGGAAACCAACATTCCTAACCCCCCCAAAAATGAATTGATCACGTTCAAATTCTATAATAAACTGACCACCTACCATTTACAAAATAGATAACTTGCTTATTTAGAAAAATGAAATTCAGTTTAGTATACTTAAAATAAAAAGAACATAAAAGTTTTTGTCTATAACTATCTCTATAGTATGGATTATAGTTAAAAACCTTGACTTATTTTATTAAATTTAGCAATACATCTACATACCTGCATAGATTAGTATGTTTAAATAATTACACATCAATTTTTAATTAAACAATTAAGATTTTAAAATAATTTGTAGAAACTTACCTCAAAGTCAAGGTCTGAATATCGTGATTTTCTTCTCTGTTAGTTAGGGATTTAAAAAAGAGAGAGAACACCAGTAAAGTTATGCTTAATCATTGAATAAAATTAAAGTCCTTATTTTTAATAAAGATAATCCTGTTTCTTTGCTGTACAAATTTTCTTCACATAAGAAAAATTTTCAGATTTTTATGATTTCAAAATATTCCATCTATATCATTCCATTTTTACCTCAAACTTCCTTTAAAGTGATGAGTGTAATAGAATATATTTCATCTTGACTTTTTATTCCTAATTTTCACTAAGGAGAGATGTTTCCCATGAAAATTCACACAATCATCCAATCTTTAAAGAAAACTTTATTTCTACTACAGAAAAACTACAGAGAGGATTCAAAGTTGTATCAGAAAAATCATCTAGGTACCTCAAGACCCCCTCACCAACCAATATCCAGACTCCATTCACCAAATTCTATCTGGCTATCTGAGCCCTGAGTTCTGTGTAAATTTCATTCACACATTTCTCAGAATCTAATAGTCTTTCACAAGCAGAAAGTCCTTCTAATTGCTAATCCTTAGGAATTATTTATTTTAATTCATTGAAACAAAAAATATTCTATATCCCAGCAAAATATTCCAGTGTTCCTTTATGGCCCCAAATCTGTTAAATAGTCTCTGAATATAGTTATATATAGACATGCATTAATGAAATAAATTAATCAAGAAGAAAGTCTGATAAAATCAAGAAATATGATTAAAATGAAATTAATACAATCTCATGTGACGATATGATTTTCATGATATGAGTAAAAGGAAGGTATTTGAAGCATCTACTCTAGGAAGCCCTAGTGTTCTTAGTAAGATTGATATACAGGGAGATGTCTGTTCCATGTGAAAAAAAAAAAGCCTCCAAATTTTTAGAGAATATAATGAATTTCTAACATTCATTCTTTTTTTTTTTTAAGTTGGCTTTTTATTTCTTGGAGGAGTGGGATAAACATGGGAAAATTTAATAAGTATTTAAAACAAATAATAATCAAACTGTGGAAAAACATGTAAATCTTTTAGCAAAGTTATGCTTTATTTTTCTCCCTGTTCCCATCTCAACACCTATAATCTTAATTTCACTAACAAGGAATTATACTCAAGACAGGTGGGAGATCCTATTCTCTGTTCCAACTGTTGAGCGTTAGGAGAGGCAGGAAAATACTAGTGTCTTGTATTGAAAACTTTGACTGATTTTCTGCTGCTAGTTTAAAATTGTCATTATAAAACCAGAACCTTCCTGCGTAACCTACTCATTCAAAGTATATATCAACAGAAAGAAGGTGATGTACCAAGAGCTTTTGTTTAAAAAAAGACCTGAAATAATTTTATTTAGGTAAAACTGTTGAAGATTATAATCCAGCCTTCAGAATGTTACCAAAGGAAAAAAAAACTGAATAAAAATTGCTTTATTAAATGGAAACCCAGCATGTTGATCTCACTTGCTCCTTTCCTCCAACAGCACCCTACCCTTGACTGGTGACATCCTGGAAGAAGAAAATGTGTGCGTAGGCATTTAACCCTGCCTTCTTTGCCATCTCCCTGCCTCTATTGTTATCTAACTGTGCTGTAGAAAAATCAGGCTCCAACATCCTGCACCACACTTTGCTGCAATATGCTAGACTAAATGTCAGTGTTTCCATGCCTATCTTGGATGCTTTGCCTTCTTGGCACTGTGACTCAGCAGGACATTTTTGTAAGTGTGCATTAAGCAAAATTCTTTCTTAATAGAGCAAAATTCAATCATGAAAACACTCAGTTTCAAGCAATTATTATAAAACATTAGTCATAGCTTTTTATTCCATTTGAAAATTAAATAGTGAAATATATATATTTTTTTAAAGAAGGGTTCATTAGCTAGAAGAATAAGAGGGCCTTCTGCTGCATGCATTGAGGGTTTCTCACTTGCCAAGGTGATAACAGCCATATGTTGTCCTGTTAGTTTCTGAATGCAAGGCCCTGTTGCCTAAGAACTGAAAATGCTGAGGCATACATGTTGCTAAAGCCTTCATGTTATAGAAGCAATAACAAAAGACAGCAACCTGGGAGAACACCAGAGAAAGATTCTGAGTGTAGATGTCACCTATGTCAATGTGAAATATGGAAACGAAAATGGATACTCCCCTACAAATAGCACTCGCGCACTCTCTCGCTCTCTCTCTCTCTCTCCTATTTAATTTTATTAAAATTAAATTCTAATATGAAGGTATAGCAGAACTGGCAGTTTTGAAGGATTAGGTCAAGGGATGAACAAATGAAGCAAAAAGATTTTAATCAAAAGAGCTTAAAGGTGGCAGGATGGTAGTGGATGTGAAATAAAGCAAAATGGACTTAGAAATTAGAGTGGGGGAAAATGTGTCTGATATTTAAAGTCCAAAGGAGATAAATATTTGAGTCATTTTATTCAGGTCCCTACAATACTGACTGAATGTTTCAACCTTTTGTAGTTTATAAAGTGCTTTCACACTTGAACATGTTAGCCACGCATTTTATGCATATGTAAAACTGAAGCCAGTAGAGTTAAAATAATTTTCCCACTTCATCTGGGTGGTTAGAAAATGAGCTGGGATTCTAAGGGAGATCTTCCAGCTGCAAGTTCAGCTTTCCCCCCATTATCTCTTATTTTCTCAGAGACACTAAATAATATTTTACTGCCAGATGACTTGTGCTCATTGTTCCTAGAACTCAACAATAATGGCATTTGAGAACTCAGGCAGTAAGGAATGATAGTAATAGGGCTGAGATGTTTTCTAACCTGAAGGCAAGGACCAACAGATCAGCTTTTGCATGTGTATTGCATTTTGAAGAATAAAAACATCCGTATGATATTCATTTCACAGGAAATCGGTGTTGAGTAAAATAACTTAAAAATCATTTTAATATGATATGGGTTATGAGAAATGCTACAATGGTGAAGAGTAGCAGGCGTTTCCACTCTCAGATATGACTCTCCCATTGCAAAATCTAGCTTATCTTAAAGAAGTATCAGACCCTGGGAAATTGGTGGTGTAAGGAGAAACCAGAATGTCCACTTTTGTTTAGTCTTGGTCTATTTCCACATTTGGTATACAATGCAGCATTTCTGAAAGTCTTTCAAAGCACTTAGGTTTGCTGAAACTGTGAATAACTTTACATTGTTATTCAAATATTCTGAGCTCTGTGGAATGACATCATAAGGTAGGAAAGTGGTTAGAATAATGTTTAATACAATTTAAAAATGAGAATCAACTATGAAAAGTGATTGTTATTGTTTTATATGAGGTGTACCCCAATAGTTCAATAGACAAAGCAAGAAGTTTTGGAGGAGAAATGATAGGGTTATAGCCTGAACCTAATCAGCAAATTAATCCCTGATGGGATTAAATGAGGCTTGTGGGTGTGGTTCTTTGGGTGTGTGGCTATGGGGTATATAGTTTGTGTTTGTTAAGTAGAGATCTCTCTCTGCTTTCTGATCATCATGTGAGCTGCTTGCCTCTGTCATACTCTTCTGCTGTGTTCCTCCTCACCTTGAGCTCTGAGGAATGGAGCTGGCCTTCTAGACTGGGACCTCTGAAACCGCAAGCCCCCAAATAAACTTTTCCTCCTCTCCAATTGTTCTGGTCAGTCACAACAGCAAAAAAGGTGAATAAAACAGTGATAAAGCCATAACAATTTTTCTGATGTTGATAATTGAAAAAAAAATGTTACATGTAAATTTCAAATAAGCCAGTGTAATATTAAAATATTTTATGAAGATATAATACATATTCTTGATTTCCCAAATAATTTGAAATAAGTAATCCTTTTTGTCTTAGTAGATGATGTTTCTTCTGTGCTGTTTCCTCTTCCTAATTTCCCACTTAAAACTCACCCCAACTTGTATTCTATTCTTAAGACTCCATTCAAACTTTTCTTGTCAAAGGTCGCTAATGAGCTCCATTTGGTCAAATACCAAGGTCAATTTTCCATCCTCATCTTATTAGACTCTAAGAAGCTTTTGAAAGTTAATCACTTCCTCATTAAAATACTCATCATCTCTCAGCTTTTGCTTTTTCTTTCTTCCCTTCTCTCTTTTACTGCAGCTCATTTTCAAGTTCCTTTGTTGGCTCTTCCTCATTTTTCCGCTTTCTAAATGACAAATTTCTGAGTTCTTTATTATCTAATATTCTTCCTGGATAACACAATTCATTCCCAGGAACTCTACACTTGCAGTTTCTTTAGCCTAAAACATTACCTTACCCTCCAGTTCCTCATAAGTCATGCTTTTTCTCAAATAAGATTTCTTACTGCTTTATACTTCCAAAGATTTTACCTACCACCATGTCTAATGAAGTCTTTCCTTCACATTGCATGATCATTAACGGATACAGCATAATGTTTTAAATTACTCTTTTTTAAAAATGGTTTGTTGGCTGTCTCTCTGCAGAGTTTATTCTCTCTCAGGGCTGGATCCATGTCTATCTTAACCACTTATGTATCTTCAGCATCTAGCAGAGGGTATGGCACATTCATGAAATTATAATAGACCAATGATTTAAGGAGCTGAAATATGGCAGCCAGAAAAGTTCAAAAGAATGTGACTTTTTGCTCTTGTTTTGTTGTAGTTGCTTTTCTCAGGAATGTTCTCGTATAATTCAGGTAAGCAAATGGACTATATACACAAAGGAAAGCATTTCAAATAGATTGACGGACAGTCAAGAGAATCAAGACAGTTTACTGGAAGGCAAGCTTATCACTGGTAGAAGGGAGAAATTCTTTAGCATTATTTAAAAGTCAGAAAATACACCATAGTGTCAGGATACTCAGAGTAATACTTAGGGAGCACATGCAGAGAAGCAACTCAGCACTTCTAACCCTTGTAAAATGATGAATAATTTCTCAGAGGAAATGCTTCATTGTTTGTGTCAATGTAAATTAAGCTGGACAAGACACTAGAAGATTCACAGCAAGTAATAAATTCCACTGACTAATGAATGGCAATATGACCACTATTAAAAGTTTCTATTATGGGTGAGCAAAGAACTCACTCACAAGGAGAAAGCTTTGATAGCAAATTCATTAAAAATAGCTGTGGTAATGATTTCTGAAAGTAATTAGTTTTCTAAAATGATTTTTATTCAGGGTAATTTTGTTTGTATACCTATATAAAAGATAAAATTCCCTAATTCAGGAGCACAAACAAAGAAGTGAGAAAGGGAAAGCCTTCCTTTCATCAGACCTACATGAGAAAAATATAAAAAAGAAAAACTTGTTTCTGTCCATGGTCAGTTTTATAATGGTTTCTGTTAGTGACAGAGACTCCTGGTTCCCAAGTGAGGCCATAACATTTTGTCTAATATCCTGAATCGATTTAATACAGCGTTCAAGCTTCTTTGCAGAAATTCAGGGCATAATGGTAATGACATAATAATAACACAACCTTACATCTCAAGTGCTCCTTACAATTTTCAAAGGTTTTCATGTACATTACACAATTTGATTCTCACAACAGCCATAAGGGAGGCACCTATGAAGTGACTTTATCGCTAAAATATTTTACCTTTAAAAACCATTATGCTGAGAGCTCTATAATTCATGTCCAGAGAAAAGCAGTGTATAAAAATTTAGCCTAGAATGTATCTCATTCCACCCATTTAAAAACTGAGGGTGACTGATCTGAGAATGTTTTCAGTGATACAGGTAATTTTAAATATAAATAGAATAGCAAAATGCACTGGTTTTGATAAAATAATTTTGTAACGTACTATCTAACCTTTATTGGTTATTCAAATATCTTCATTAATAAGAAAAATTAAGGCAAGATTTGTCAGAACAACAGAAAACATTTAATGTATTTATATTTGAGCAAAATGTTCCACAAGAATTCAAATAATAGAGGAGCTAAGAAGACGCATACTGAACTATGGGGTAAGCAAGGCATTAGCAGAAGTAGCCAGTGTGCCCCCTAAGATGGACAGACAAAGGGAGATGGCAATGTAATTTGAGCCCAGGGATTGGAATACCTGGCAGAAGCAGGAAGTGCCCTGGGAGCTGCAGCTAGAGAGACACAAGGTGCAGCCTCAAAGCTGAAAGAGCAGGATAAAACTAGTTTCTGTCTTTTCCCCAACCCCCATCCTCTTCCCAGTGCTTCCTGTTTGACTGAATCTAACCAGAAGTCTGTGACATAGCCCTGTATTAACCCAGAGCTATACAGGGAAAAGAGGTGAAGAGTGGATCATATGCCAAACAGGCCTAGGACATGCCCAGTTACAGGCTGTTGAATAAATATTTTTCAATGATTCAAAGGAAAGTACAAACCTGCCGTCTTATAATAGTACACTCATAATTTTTCAGAAAATAAATCAGTAGAATTATAATCCAAGATTTAAAAGTTGTCATATGCATGAGAACCACCATCCCTCTTTTGTTCCCTTATTCCACATTAAAAAAAAAAAAAAAAAATTTTCCTGCCTACACACACCATGGACTTGCCACACTTCATTAACTAATTGAAGGTGAATGACTTAAAGTGCTGATTATAATTTCATTCTTAACCTCACTCAAAGTGGCTAGAGGACTTCTAGGACTTGAACCATTGTGAAAAAAAAAAAATCTGCCATATTAATACTGCAATTATTCCATACTTAGAGGAACTTGAAACCTGAAAATTTCAGAATTGCTTAACAAGTCCATTCTGGGAATGACCAGAGTGAGGAAGACAAAAAATTTCAAGAAATAAAGAAAAAAGGTAATAGTGGGCATGGAGATAACCTAGATACACTTTTATACTCAGAAACTTCATGCATCTGTTCATTGTTTTACATCCAATACCTGGGGGTGAAGTGAACAAACTCCCCTGGGGCTGGAGGCTCTCCTGCTGGCACTGCCTTTCCTGAGAGCCTCCTCCTTTCCTTGTTGCCTCCTGCTAACTTGAATAAACACTTCCACCCACTCGCCCCCTCCAGTCTCTCTGGCTTTCTTTTTATTTTCTACCTCCACTCCTGTTTTTTCTCACTTGCACTTTTCTCATGGATACTGAATTCAGTGCTATGGCTGGGAGATTTTACCCTCTTCTTTTGATGTTGGCAATTTGTGAAAATCCACTCTTTTGGAGTCCCATTCCTAAATCAATATACCCATCTTTATAATATATCCTTGAAAACATCATGAGGCACCTGGCCATCTTCTGCTGTGCCAGCTCCCCAGAGTGAATGTTCCTGTGGGTTTAATCTCCCTTCTCACTAAGAGGTGCCAAAGACCCAAATTGTTTTATTTCTGTAGGCTTCATCTAATCCACATGTTCACTTACTTTTGTCTTTCTATTATCTTCCAAGACCTAAGAAACTTCATGACTACTGTTGATCCCCACACTGCATGAAGATGCTCCAGTCATCCTTCTGCTTTTCCTCTATCATTGTCAAAATATCATCTTCCTCACTGTTGGGCCTGCAGATGCCACCTAACAAAGCTGAAGACTCTACCAGATAATGCATTGCTCAGGTCAAAAAGAAAATCACACCACTGATATTTTATCTCCATGGATCTCAGCCCCATCTCTGAAATCTGTGAGCTGTATGTACTTACAGGACAGAAAAGGACTTTATCCATTTTGTGTTATACTCATCATAAGACTAAGTGTCTATCAGGGGTTAAAAAGAACATTAAAGTTATCTTCATGCTAATGTTCAGGCTCATTACTGTCTCTTCTGGACAGCACAGATTTGATCAGGACAGAAAGATTCTACTCCTAGATTTGCTACGTACTGTCTCTGTAACCTTGAACAAATGACTTTCCATTGAAGATTAAAACAATTTATCCATTGCACAGAGGGCTTGTGAAGATTAATTAATTCATATTTTTCAGGTGGTTTGAGGATCCGCTAATGAAAGATGCTATATAAATGCTAATTTTTATTATTCATCCTCACATATATACGTTCTTTTTCAGTTGTCTTCTAAAATGGTCACCCTAAGCAATTATTAACTATTATGGTTTTTAAAGAATGGAAATGAAGAACTAAATTTTCATTCTGAATCCTGAGTTTCCTTTCTTTTCAAGATGTAAGTCTGTAATCTGTAAGTCATTTAAATGCAGATCTTTTGGTGAGTCACAGTTACATATGATGCTTATACTTCATTATAAGCACACAGAGATTTGGAAAAATTACAAACTGAACAAAGCAGTACCTGGAAAATACAGTCTATTGTCCCAGCACACATAGTCTGTACAATATCAAGTCCAGGGAGGCTTAGGGACTTTTAAGTGCTAAACATTTTTACAACAACCAAAATACTTTAATGAAATTCCATTCAAATCTCTTTAGTGCCTTTAAAAACGCCATTCTAAATGTAAAACTTCCATATGGTCATTACAATTGCTTTTGATATTATGTTATTATATGCACAGTCACTGAAATTCCTCTTAAATACTTTTGTGATTTTGCATGAACATTTTGTAGTTTGTGATTAGGGAAACAGTAGTGACTTGGTGAATTCAGAAGAATAGAATGCTTTTGTCCAAAGAAAAGTTCTGACCACTCTGGAGTTGAACTTGATTGACCTCAGTGCCCCTGTCCATGCCTTTGGTTCTGGGAAATGACTCCTATCTGGTTAGCCTCAGAAACCCTGTTCTGCTTGAAGATGATACAGAACTTAGGACTTTCTCTTAAACTCTATTCATATTCCCATTTGGTCTAGAATTTTCTCAATCTAGTTGAGAAAATCCTTAAATTATTCAGCATGTTTCTTTATCCTCTCAAGATGTCTCTTTATTGTGATGGACTAGAAGGCATGGGTTTTTGGGAAAATGAAGAAGCAATTATCTCTAAGCTCTTTTGGACACTGAAGAGCAGGCAACCAAAGATAGTGTCTTTCTCTAAATATTGTCTTATACAATAATCTACTAATTAAAACAATTGGCAATAAGTCAAGAAGAATGCATAAATTACATTGTATACTGAACATATATTCCCATAACAGGCTTACAGTAAAACTTCAAGGTAAAGGATATAAAAGCCACATACAAATCAATAAGAGAATATATGTCAGTAGAAAATAAGACCTTATATGTCTTGGATCTTAATTGATTCTAATACAATTTGAATTATTGGCTACTGTCTATGTTGAGCAGAGAAAAGCTGAGAGACGTTTACTTTTTTACTTCTATTGGACTTATGAAGCACAAAGGCCATGTGGTTGGGCCTCAGAATCCTGATTCTTAGATGTTTACATTATATCTTTTTTGTTAATTCATAATTTAAGGCCAAAATTTCAGTTGTCATCATCTGTAAGAGTTAGAAGCAAATCATTTACTCTGAAAAATTATGTAATGTAATAATAATTTATTTAAAAAATCAGTGTGATGGTGGGACTCAGAGAAACATTCTAGTTTCATTATTTTTAACAGGTGCCCTTATACAAAAATAACCCAGATCTTGGTTTAACTTTGTAATGCCATCCAGATACAACTTTATCCACCAAAAAAGACCTCTGGTACCTAAGAAATAACAGGAGGATTTTCTATTTTTTTTTTCTTTATGAGTGTTTGACTTGATTCCCATTACAAAAGAATTATGACTGGGAGGTATCATTTTGAATATAGTGGAATCTTTAGTTTTTAAGATCATCTTGAATAAGGATTCTGATGAACTACTAGAAAAACCCTATGTCCAGAATCTGGAATCTAAATATTCTAATGCCAAACATTCTTAATATGACACATATCCCGAATAGCTAAGTCCTTCTCCAACACCAGTGTCCCATGAATATATATGTCACATACATATATGTCATATATCAAAGAAAGATTTAACTTCTTATTGCTCACCTCTAGAGAACTCATGGATATCGTTGATCCAGTTTCACTTCTTGATAGTCCTGCATTATCATCCAACTCAGAGGCCATGAAATTCTTCACAGCTGTGCGAGGCTCAAAGGGCAAATTCTGCATATGTTCCTGGGGTGCAAGATGTTGCTCTAAGTTCATATTGAACTGGTCCATTACAGGGGGATTCATATTGAATTCAGGATTCACTTTGTAGTGCAATAACCTTTCATGCGGCAAGGTTTCCATGCCAATATTCATTTTGCTTTCCTCTTTCATTGATGGCTGGGTATTTACAGAACTTCTGGGCATCACAATATAGTCACTTTCCATCATTCTTTCTTGAGGATGGACGATGTCCATATCGGCCCCTCTTAAATTGTCATCTGTACATAAGTACACAGTTCTCCGCAATTCACTGTTCTCTTTTTTCAAACATTGATTACCCAGCTCATTCATACTCATGGGCATATGCAGGCCTGTGGGTTGCTGGATGATGACTTTGGAAATTACATTTCCTGGCAATGTTGAATAGCTCAGCCCTTCAGGGTTTGTTCCCTTTTCTTCCTCATCGTCATTTAGAGAAATCCTGGAGAGTGTTCCTGTTATTGTTGCTGCTCGGCAAGGGCCAATATCCTTATGAAGAACTGTGAATTAGGGTATGATATTTCATAAAAGAAAAGTTAGTGCTTATTATTGTATGCTATTATCTCTCCTCCCACTAAATTGCTTTAATAAATTTAAAAACAATCATTTAAGAAGTTATAAATCTATTTGTTTGCTCATAGTCCTGATTACTCAGTTCTTACTGATTCTGTCAAGCTCTCATAGCTCACTGGGAGCCCATAGTCAAAGCATGTCTGAAAGCTGAGTAACTAGCTTTCAAACACCTCAGCTCTCTGTCCTTCAACAGCTACATGTGACTTTTCAAGGGACAGGTAGATTACCAGAGAAGTTTACTCCATCAGTCTACTCCAAAAGAGTTTATGAAATTATGGATATATTCACATAAATTTGATTTCTTTTAAAGGCTTTCCCCCTAAACTGCTGGAGAAGTTTTATTAAAATATTTCTTGAAAGAGATAACCAGTGGGAACTTTATCCTACTGAGTTAGAAATCCTCCAAAAATTATGCATGTTGAAAATTAACCAGCATTTATCCATTGAAGTGTCTGTGGTAAAGGAAGATATAGGATTGAAAAGAATCTGTCCCATTAAGCTACATATAGGAGGCGAAAAAAGGATTGTCGTTATCATCATTGTCTTCTTTTTTACAAGATCAATCTGGAGGTGAAAATCCCTTGAAAAGAAGGCCAGGTGTTAAAATTGAGTTCAAGCAGAAAAAAAAAAAAAAAAAAAAAAAAAAAACTATATAAGCCATTCTATTTGAAACATGAAAAAAAAATAAGTTATTTAGGGAAAAAAATGGGGGTGGGTCGGATATGATCACCTATGATATAAAAAGGAACAAAATGAAAAACAAACCAACCCAAACTAAAGCAAACAAACCAAAAAGGGTTCAGAATTCTTTATTGAAATACATTTTACTTTTTCCTACTTTTTTTTTGGCCTCTATATAAAAAGAAAAAAAAATGTTTTGTGGATAATAGAGGTAGAATATCTTAAAGCATGCTTAACTATGCACAATTACCTGTTTTAAGTATAAAGAAAAAAATGCTAAAAAAATATTCTTGGTAAATTTGGTATTGAAACGCCAAGATTTGCCATGCACCATGGCACATGCCTGTAATCTCAGTCACTCAGGAGGCTGAGACAGGAGGATCACAAGTCTCAGGCAAGCCTCAGCAACTTAGAGAGGCCCTGATTAAAAATAATTAAAAAATAATAATAAAAAGGACTGGAGATTTAGTTCAGTGGTAGAGCACCCCTGGCTTGGATCCCAGGGGTCGAAGGGGCTGAGGATGTGGCTCAAGCGGTAAGGCGATCGCCTGGTATGCGCTGGGCATTGCACTGGGTTTGATCCTTAGCACCACATAAAATAACATTTAAAAAAGATGTTGTGTCCACCAAAAACTGAAAAATAAACATTAAAAATTCTCTCTCTCTCTTTTCTCTCTCTTAAGAAAAAAAAAAAAAAAAAGAATTGACCTCAGCAAGAGTTGGCACAAGGTAAATGGTGACAGCAACCTTGTCTACAATGTAGAGCAACCTCATTTAAAATTTCACTAGGTATAGATAACTACTGAATAAATAATAATATAGAATTGGTTTATAAAACCATGAATAATTTTAGATATATTGAATTTTACTCATTATCATCCAGTTTTCAAGTAGAATGATAACTATTCTGCATTAACACAGAGGTGCAAAAGTAGGAGATTATTTACAAAGAAAAGACACTTTCAAGATAATTTCAAAACATATACCACTCATGTGGTATCTTAGCTGTAGAGATTTTACATCTAGTTATTTTATTATTATCTCTTTATTTTACACACGAAGAAACCATGATACATCTACACTTCTGTACTTTTTACTAATCCACAATATGGTTGTGGATTTTTGTACTTTACCATTGGTCTTGTATGTGAAAGATGTTTAATGACTACATTTTAAGAAGTTATTTCTAAGCCTCTTAAAATAATAATATATCAGTAATGAATTGTGATTTTTCAGAAGTGATTATAAATGAAAACATTAAATGGCAAAGTATGTTAAATCAATAGTAAAATACATTTAGGGGGCTGGAGTTGTGACTCAGCCGTAGAATGCTTGCCTAGCACGTGCAAGGTGCTGGGTTCATTCTTCAGAACCACATAAGAATAAATAAATAAAGTTATTGCGTCCAACTACCACAAAAAAAATTACTTAAAAAATACATTTAAAACATTTCCAAAGTAAGGGAAGAAAACATTTAGTTTTTTATAAAAAATAATTCCAAACTTATAGCAGCAGAATTTAGAGGAAAGTTATGGAAATATATCATACTGTATTAAGGATGTATTATTAACTTCATATTTTTATTACTACCTTGTAAACTATAAAGGAAGTCTTCATACTGAGTATTGACTTTATAAAGATGAATTTATATAATACACATTTAGTTTTATACAGATGTAATATGATCTATAGTTATAGTCAACATTTTAAAACTAATGATATAACCATGCTTTACTGAAAATTTGTATATATTAAATATTTGGGGAGAAATAATTTTTCTTAGGAAGTAGTGTCTATATGAGAGATATGCCTGCCTCTTAGACTTGCTTAAAACATATCCAAACATACTTCCTACACAAGAAAACATAAAGTTGAAGTAGGACTTTTGAGAAATTAATTAAGTTGTGAAAAGCAACACAGAATTAAAAAACAAACGGAATGAAAAAGCACCTGTATATTTAGCATAGTCAGATGCATAATCCAGCCTTTGGGGAAATGAATTTCTACATTTAGAGAATGTAGGAGACATTAAATTGAGATTTTAAAACTGAATATATTTTAATATGGACAGATATATCTTGAGCTCAGTCACAAAGGGCATTGATTGAAGTGAAAACAGAAAATAAATTTTGGGAAAACTTATTTTCTAATAATACCATGATTATTGGCCTACATTAGGAATGCGACATTCTAGAATCCACTGAAGCCTGGGGAAAATGGATAATTTAACAAAAGAGAGAAGGATGTGTACTGAAGGGGTGAGACCACAGCTTGGGGAAAATCATCCAATTTAGTGGTTCTTAAACTTGAGCATGAATTACATGAATGATGGGTGAAAACACTGGCTACTGTACCCCACCTTCTTAGTTTCTGTCCCACAAGGTTTGGGGCAGGGCTCTAAAATCTGCATTGCTAATAATTTCTCAGGTGATGCTAATCCTGTGAGTCTGAAAACCATACTTGACAATCACTGGTTTTATATGAATAGCTATTGAAGAAAAGACAAAATAGTCCACTCTTATATTGCTTCTCTGTCAAGGAGAACTGTGAGGAGTATTCTAAAAGAGGCTGAAAGGAACCTAAATTAAAGGTAGACAATTAGGAATTAAACTGCCTAATTACCTAATTATTTAAATAATTAGATACCTAATTCTGTTAAATAAATTCAAGCTTTCAGATTCAAACAAATCACTTCCAATTTTAAAATATAGATGTGGAAACTAGCATCATAGTAATTTTTAAGAAACTGGAGAAGGTGGATGGAGCAAAGGAAGAATATTTTATCTATTATCCAAAGAGGGAAATAGTAGATCCTGGAAACCATACACCAGGATCTTAGCAATGTTCTGTTGGGTCTTTTCCAACAGGAAAGGAGATTCTTAGTAACCTGAGGAGGTCCACCACGGGTTGCCATATCTTAGCAGTTATTTTACTGCTCTATGAAGACTGGACTTTACATAGAGTATTTTGATTGAATTCAGGAATAAGAATATAAAATTAGTTGCTCATATGCTTGTGATTATGACAAATATTGTGATCTGAGATTCTTCATAGATTTTTTTTCTTTCATTCTTTTTTTCTTTATTTGAGACAGGGCCTTAATATGGTATCCAGGATGGTTTCTAATTCCTCTGCTCAAGGGGTCCTCCCATTGCAGCCTCCAGAATAGCTGGGGCTACAGGGATGCACTACGTATATTTTAATGGCTATGAATTGAATCGAAAACCATGCATCTTCTGGCAGATAAGGAAAATCCCAAGCTATTTAACTCTTTTATCAGCAGTTTGAATGAAGATTTAGAAGATATTTTATTACACTTTCAATGGTCAATCTCACATGGATGGTGTGCTAATCTGAAGGAAGTAAGGTTATAACAAATAGAGCTATATATATAAAGGCCAGCTTTTTTCCCCCCCTGGAAAACATACTAAAATCAGAAATTTTAGATTTCTTAGCTGAAGAAGCCTTGATGGTTCCTATGAAAAGTCTTAGGGGATTTAGATGACAAGTTGACACTAGTACTGAAATAGAAATCAGATGTGAATGTAGAAACTATTAATATAAGTAAAGATCCAACTGTGATAAATGCTGGATAAATGTGTATACATTTAGGCACTATAATTTAACATTATTGACAAATTAGAGGCTAGTTTGGGCACTATACCTGGGAGGATGCTATGAGGAGTGAATGATGAAACGTGGCTTGCTTATATCTGAGAAAAAATACTTTTATTGGACTAAATGACTTCAAATATTTGTATATTTAAATGAAATAGATATCCCTTCTTATTCTAGAAGGCAGCACAAAGACCACTGAAGAAAAGATAAAATAAGGCCTTTTTTGTCCTAGTTTAAAGGCACATTTTCCAACAACTGAAACTACACAAAATATGAAACATGCAGTCTTCTTTAAAACTTTCAAGTCATCTATTCTGGTGAGAATTTAGCCAAAGTCTGAAAGACAACCCTGAGGTCAATGGAATACTAGTTCTCTGAGGTGGGATGTGCTGCCTGGTTTCTTCCTTTCCCTTCTAAAAATGTAGTAATTGTGGCTGTTGCACGTGCGCACACACACGCACACACACAAACAAAATGGCATTTCAACCTTACATCTGTCCGTATTCCATACATGATGAAATGGAGGGCAGAACGGCTATGCTACGTGGCTTCACTCTCAACAACCATTACTTGGTCGGACAGAAGTCATTTGTCTTCACATCAATGCTTTTCTGCTATCATTATGCTCCCAATAAACCATTCATTTTTTGCAGGGCAGGAGGTACAGGGGAAAAATAATTATATACCTAATTCTGTTAAATAAATTCAAGCTTTCAGATTCAAACAAATCACTTCCAATTTTAAAATATAGATGTGGAAACTAGCATCATAGTAATTTTTAAGAAACTAGAGAAGGTGGATGAAGCAAAGGAAAAATATTTTATCTATTATCCAAAGAGGGAAATAGTAGATCCTGGAAGCCATACACCAGGATCTTAGCAATGTTCTGTTGGGTCTTTTCCAACAGGATATGAGCAACTAATTTTATATTCTTATTCCTGAATTCAATCAAAATACTCTAAGTAAAGTCCAGTATTCAACCACTGAGCCATGTCCCCAGCCCTATTTTGTATTTCATATAGAGACAGGGTTTCACTGAGTTGCTTAGTGCCTCACTGTTGCTAAGACTGGCTTTGAACTGCCTCAGCCATCAGAGCTGCTGGGATTACAGGCATGTACCACCAAGCCCGGCCCCAATAAACCTTTCTTAATATCTTCCTCATTCCTCATTCTCTCTTTATTCTTTCCCTCCGGACACACACATCTGTACTATTGTAATTCTTCCATTTGAAGATTCCCTTTATTCATACTCATGAATAGGTAAAGCATAAACCACAGTATCTTCTTTAAAACCAAAATCCACAGGAATGATTTAACATCCCTAATGATTTTACTTTCAAGACCCAAATAGTCTTACCTGATCTACAAGCAATGTCTACATCCTTTTCAAAGTCTGTCTGTAACAAGAAACAATAAGGAATAGAATCATCATTTGATGAAGACATCAAGTACCTTTTACTAATCAAATTAACTGAAGTTTATGGATCTCTGACTAGGCAGTGCCCATTTATTATTCTGTGCAAAGGCAATTTCTCAAAGAATAATCTGATTGTTTCAAGAATATTTCTTAGAGACCAAACGTTGAGTAAAATCATCAGTGTTAATAAGGCAACACAATACCTGCTGTCATCTTCAGTCTGAAGCTGACCATTGTATAGAAAAGAATAGAATTTTATAGCAATTTTCTAACCAAAATAAAGTGACCAAAATGTGCATAGTTATGAATATACTTATATAAATGCCTTTGACATTTGTACTTTGTAATTTGAATATGTTGCTTTTAATATAATATCTCATAATACAGCTTAAAACCTTTTACTAGTGAAGCCAGGCTCCTTGAATGATTCACTTTTGCTAAAATGTGAAAAAAAAAAAAACTCTACTAGGTTTAGGAATTAAAATTTAAGATTAAGAATACTCATCTGGTTCAGAACCTGCTAGAGTTTATTTCTACTTCATATTTTCTCCAGATTCTTATTTTAAATAACTTCATTTTTCTTTTTAAAAACAGTAAAATTAAATTAAGCTTCTCAGGATCAAGGTCTTCCAATCATATGCATTTCCCTAGAAATATTTTAAATTGGAGATTTTTTGTGGTTATCTATTTGTTTTTGGTAAGGTATTGATTATTGTCCTAAGTCTTAGTTACTAACCCATCATTTAGCCTATTTTATATTATCTAGCCCCAAAATGTTAATAATAAATCAAATATGTGGTTTAAAAGAAGGTTTTTATTTTTTAATATCTGTTTTTCATGAGTTTAAATTTATCTCATTTCTATAACACACCAAAGTTTTTGTGCTTATAGTACCTCTTAATTGCAACAATAGTCAGGACTTGTGTACAATATGGACCTTTCACTGGAAAGGTGCTACTCCTCATGCTCTAGAAGAATGTTTCTCATCTTGGGCTGCATGCTAGAACTTCCAGTGCTTGGGTCTTGCCTCCTACGATTCTGATATCATTGGCCTGGGGTGCGGCTCCTGTGATGTTTTTATTATGCAATTAAGCCTGAGAACCGCTGCTTTGAGACTGGGTGAGCAAATGCATAGTGTTCTGAACTGAAAACAAAACAAAACAAAACCATGATCTTAAGTGCACATCATCATCCCTAATGCTGGGCAAGAATGAAAATACTCTGCGGTGTTGCACAGGACACCCATGGCGGGCAGCAGCAGATCCTGGATTCCCAGACAATCCAGACAGAATATTTACCTGGTGTCAAATTTAGCCCGTTAATGAACTAAAGCTGAAGTCATTCAAAATGGGATTTGATGTTATTTTATCAATAAGAATTTGTTTTAATTCTCTTGAGAAATCATGACTTAATTAGCAATCAACAGGAAAACAAAAGCTCACCATGATTTGAGCATGCCCATTAGGAAAAGAACTTGAAGAATCAGCATTGATTGGATCCTGGCAGTTTCTCAATCGGCATCTAAATGCATCCTGAACCTGCGGGGGAAAGAAACATTAATTTTCCTCTCTCTTAATAATAACCACACAATGTCTATATTGGCAATCAACCATGAGAAAGTGGCTATCTTTGCTCTTATGATCTAATACCCATTTTGTTTGCTTGATACAAATGCTGGTATACTTCGACTTTACTCCATGCCAAGGAAATTTATCACTTGCCATCATCTACACTGGGAAGTGTTGGGAACTCCTGAGCTATCAAAATGGCCATATCTGGCTCTGTCTTAATAATTCTTGCCAGAAAGCAGATTTATTTCCACTGTTACAAACAATATGTGTGTCTTTCAAAGGGGATTTACTATTTGGCATGGCAAAATCTTTAGAACAGCTTTAAACATTGTGAAAAATGAGATTACTCAATGATCTTTTGACTAGAATTGATTTAGGATTTTTCCTTTTATATCTCACATAAGGAACCTCTGGGGAGACTATTTCTTATCTCCTTTCAAGTACTATGTGCCCTGATGAAAAAAGAACACAATGAAACAAAAAGGGAAACAAAATTGGATGGTTGTCGGCACAGCCAAACATCCTTAACATCCATTTATAATGAGATTCTGAATGAAGAACAAGCAAATCACAAGGAAGTTCTAAGAATATTACATTAATTCCTTCATTTAAAAAAATACAATTATATTGTTATGTTGTGTGTATGTACAAGGAAGTAAAAACAAATTTCATTGTTACATATGTTTATAATGCAACGGTTATTTTTTAAAATTCAGTAAATATAAATAGCTGAATAGTGAACACAGTTGATAAAATAGCAAATGCAAGAGATGATTTTTCCACTGTACAAAGCCTCTGCATCAGCCTCTCCTTTTCTTCCTGTGGTTCATTAGGCCCCTCATAAGCTATCGATAGAAATCTTCACAAATAGACACTCATTCCAAGTGGCCATTTTACTAATGCTTTGTTTTTCTGACTTCATGTTACTGATATTCCCCTTCTCATTTATGTAATCTGTTTCACTGGATTAAAAATAAATAAAACAAAACATAGGAATGTTGTGTTTCCCCTATTTTACTGGAGCGTCCTTGTAAGACTACCAAGATGACACATGATCATTACTTTTAAAAAGCACTGATATATAATAGACTGTCACTGTTTTTATGTGGCATGTGTATAACTTGTGTATTGGCTGGGGGTCAGGGGAACAGCTTATTAGGTTGTCTTCAGCTTCCTCCTTGTCCTCTGACTCATTTCAAATTCACTAGTAGCATCTCTCCCAAATTGCAGGATTTGAAAAGAGACACTGACTGCAGTAACCACACCAGACTGTGCCAACCAGTGCAATGAAGCTTTCATCCACTTGTACTCCCCCACCCCAATTTCTAATGCCATAATAGCTGTAAAAGAAGGGGCTCAGGGATGAATTCAGTGCTCTCTGAGTACTCTCCAATCTACGATTCTAACATTTCTAAATCTGGAATTTCTTCCACAATGAATGAGGAGTTGCCTGATAAAACTCAACAAGATAATTTCTTCTTTCTTTTTTTAAACATGTTGGTAAAAATTGTAGATGTAGTGAAATCTAGTCTGATCACTTTTTCTTGACTATCTGGATAAATATTTAGGGCTAAATCATCCAGCTTCTCCTAATAAAAGACACAAGGTCAGGACAAAGTTAGGTTCTTTCAGTGCAAATGTTTCAGGCTTCTCCTTTCTAAATTAAGATGTCATGGCTGTAGGTTATAAAGTAACATGTGAAAAATAGAAAATCAGTCTTGTATTTGCCAGATCATCACTTTTTCTGTTATGCAGAGATTTGAATTGGGGAAAGCATATTTGTTTGTTTTTAGAAAAAAAAATCTTAAGAATCAATGTCAGAAATATAGGTATATGTTAATTTTCTGTTTGTGCCCCAAGTAAATTGTTAAAGAAGCACAATTTATAAAAGAAGATAAATAATATGTTAGAAGAGTCTCCCGAGTATTTAGCACACGAAGATTTCCTTCAAATCTATTTCTTAGTGTTAGCATATATAAAATATATAGTAGTAATGTCAAATGTTAACTTGACTGGTCTTAACTAACCATTCTCCATTTTTGGACCTTCACAGCATATTTGTCCAAAAGTACTTTCAGCTGACAATGAAATATGTAAAATCAACTTCTATAGAAGTTTCTCTTCAAAATTTCTATCTACTTGCTTGAAGGAAATGTAAACAAAAAAAAAAATCTCTTTTTCAGGACTCACACACACACACACACACACAATCAATACTTTCAAATTCCAAACTCCAAAATCTGACAATGGATTAAGGGCATTTCTACACTGGAGAATGATGTCAGCTTTAGGAACCAGTCAATGCTGTCCAGAGAAACACAAAACAGAAAAGCACGAATGTTCGCTAGTAAATTCAAGGTCATTTTTAGGGCCTTACAAATGCCATAATTTAAGGGTTAGGTTGTATGATGCTTTTAGTGCTGTTGACACCTTAAATCTAGAAAGATTTGCAGAAATTGATAGAAATCTTCACAAATAGGCACTCATTTGATTCCAAATCCTCTGTTTCATTTTTTAAAATCTTAAAAATGCATTGGGATAATCTACATGGATTGATCTTAAAAATCTGTTCAGCACTGTCAAGAAAATGATTAGACTAGATTTCATAGTGCATATTTCCTTATCACAGCAAAATGTACTTCAAGCAAGACAGAACCTGGAAAAAGCACCCACAATTATTTGGAAACATTTTGATGATTAATCGAATTATCTATCAGGTAAACAAAGAGTTTTATCTTTGGTGAATCAGGATGAATTATGCTGATGGAGAACAGATTTTTTTTTTTTTAAAGAGAGAGAGAATTTTTTAATATTTACTTTTTAGTTTTCAGTGGACACAATATCTTTATTTTATTTTTTTGTGGTGCTGAGGATCAAACCCAGCGCCCTGCGATGCCAGGCGAGCGCACTACCGCTTGAGCCACATCCCCAGCCCGAGAACAGAATTTTTAACAAAGCAAGTCCACAAAAATCTTGAAGATTTCAGGCAAATAGAAGCATAAGAAAATTAAAAATAAATCAAACAAGGTGGAATCTAGATCAGGCTGTGCCATGCTGAAATTAAAAACTTCTGTGCCAGTAGTCATGTTCATAACACTGGATAGTAATAGTTTTTGATTTATTATTTATGGAGAAGGAGTCATTTATTTTAGGTAACAATTTAATTAAAAGTGTGTTATTAGAGAATATCATTGTAACTCTGGATTCTTGTGCAATGAACACTTTTAAAAGCTTACTTGAGACCAGTAAATACAACTTTTAAATAAGCCTGTTTGGAACAATTAAATATTTAACATAAATTATGGCAGAGTTAATATTTAGATTTTAAGATTTCTTCTTATAATATTCTGCAATAGGTCTTTGACCTTAATTGGTGATCAGGCAGAGGGTTAAATATCTAGGAGTACAGTAAGAAACAGATATCTAACTACCTTTGGAAATGTAGGACACTTTTAAGGAAATCTGATGGCATGCTGTGAAATGAAGAAAAGAATGGCAAGAGACATCTTCAAAAATCAGATGAGGTGAAAACAATAAGTTATCAAGGTCGTCTGTTGAACACATCCAACTGTTCCCCACCAAAGTTGTTCTGACTGGCTCCAGCTGGGGGTCTGCTCTAAAAAAAAACGATGAAAGCTGTAAACCTTTCTTGTTGGGGATGGATTCCTGGATGAGACACCAGTTCAAAGGGGTTTGCAGGGGTGTCGCCCCGTCTCTCTCCCTGTGGGAGAGAGATTCAGTTTTTCTCAGCAGAAGCAAGCTGGAAGCTTCTCAATTGGTGCTCACTCCGAAAGGCAGCTGGCAGAGTGTCACTGTGAAAGTCGGTGCCAGATTTAGAGATTGCTGGGGAAGAGCACCAAACACTGTTTGGCAGCGTTGCAATTTAGAGAAACCTCGCAGGAAAGAATGCACAGCTTGAAATGGGCTCTGTATTTAGCTACCGAGCTGCTCAGACTCAAAAGCTTCACCTTTTTAAAAGGCAGTTTTACCTCAAGCTACTCTTCTTGACTTCTTATTCCAGAAAATCATTTAAACTGGTTTTATGGCTTTTCACATAATTTAATCATTACATGAATAAATTGTCCTCTGTTTCATATGCATGATGTCAATCAACATAAGCAGCATAAATGACTTTGCATCATTAAAATATTACTGGATTTTTCTCATAACAAAAGAGAAAAAAAAGAAGAAGCCATTTGCTGTATAATAAAGGATAAATATGAACTGCAGTCTCAAGTTTCAGTCCTAATGATTATTTATTGGAATCCTAAAGGATATATCACTTAGAATTTAAACTTGTTGCACCTTTTTAGTTTCAAAGTACTTTTTGTTATCAGTTTATTGGGTTGAAAACTTTGAATATTTCAAACAGATGATCTGGAAAAATTACAGTAGCATTTCCTTGGCATGCAAACATGAAAGGAAGAAAAGGGAAATGAGACTCCAGACTCCAGGACCTTGTGCCTTCATAGGTTGCACTTCCTTTGAGCCTTGTGCCACCCTCTTTGAGGCAGGTGTTATCCCAGTGTATAGCCAAGGGCCCTCAAACTTAGGAAGCTTAACTAACGTACTCAAGATCATAACAATAAGTGGCAGAGATGAAAATGAAACCAGGTCACTTGACTTGAAAGTTGGACTTCATTCCAAGGCACCACTTTGCCTCCACTGTTATGACTCACTGAACAAAGAACAGGATAGTTTAAAAGAAAGAAAGAACCAGAACAATTGTTTCCAAATGAACAGAAATTAAGCTGCTGTTCTGTAATCTTCTACCTTTTATGAGTTAGATAAAACATTAAAAAAATAAGAGGTAATGTGATAAGTTTTCATTTTATTCCTTTATTCAAAACATTGAATTTCCTGTTACTGGAGTAAAAATCTTGCCAAGTAGGATCTGGATCTTAAAGGAGAGGGAGGCAGGATTTGCCCATCTGCATGCCTGTATTCAGGTGCCACTTCCCACCACA